AAAAATCGAAATAGACTCCTTACTAGCACTCATTCTGAGCCACTTCTGTCAAAATCAAGTGAGTATAAAAAAAAATCTATGTAAATTCTCCTAACATGCCAACATATTAAGTTATATACTTAACAATAGAAAACATGCAATGTACATTAATTAATATCAAATATAATCAAGGTAAATACAAAGCTCTACTAAAAATTTTAAAATTTACATACATACCCAAAATATCCAAAAGTCTGAACAGCTATCATTCAAATGTCTTTTTGGATCACGTTATATACCCAAAACATATTTACAAAAAAAAGAATAGCCACCTCTTTTTTTTTCTGCATAGTTAATGCAATCAAGGATTATCATTCTATGTTTTATTTTTCAATATTTTTTATTTTTCTATGTTTTGGACTCTATGTAATTTGTACTCTATGTTTTTTTTTTTAATTTTGGTTACCCTGTGATGGAAGGTAACTGATGATCATGTTAGGTTGGTGCTCTTATGTATGTCTCTTCCTATCCCTCACCTTGTTTCTTTGTTTTTTTTTCCTAGGTGGGCTGCTAGTTTATACCCTCGTTGGCCTTGTTTTCCTCGATTTTCCTCCCTAGCTATTGTCCCTTCAGTTTGGGCAGTTGTCCCTTCGATTTTTGTGCCCATTAACTATTGTATTAATGCCTCGTTTACCCCCTAGCTGTTGTCCCTTTGGTTTGGGAAGATGTCCCTTCGATTTTTGTGCCCATAACTGCTATATTAATGCCTCGTTTACCCCCTAGTTGCTGTCCCTTCATTTTTTATGCCCATTAACTACTATATTAAAGCCTCATTTTCCCCCTAGCTGCTATCCCTTCGGTCCCTATTTATTGCAGTTTTCAAGGAAATTCTAGTGGTTTCTTGGGTGGTGCTTTAATTACCTTGCATTAAATATTTTTTCCCTTCTCCCCATATATATAGTGGTTGTTTTCTTGCAGTTGGGAGAAGTTTTGGTAAAGAATTTGCATACAAACCTGCAGGTTTTTTAGCTTGCGAGCTAGCCTCCTTTCACATTCCCCTCTATTAATTCGTCTTGTTCTTCTACCTCTTCTTCTCTATCAACGATTCCCGCCCCATTTATATCATTCTTCTCTTGTGAGCTTGGTGGTGTTTGCTGCCACATTTTGGTTGGTATTTGCTAGAGGAGTGTGGACTTGAACCGGATCATTTCAGTAGTGGATTCCATGTTAGATCTATCCTTTGAGCACCTATCCTTTATATTTCGAGCTTTGCATGTGAGGTGACCGCTTGTCAGTTGTTCTGAGGGTGGCTTTGTTGTTGTTTCTTTATGTTTACGGATTTTATAAGCTTTTTTTTAGAACTTGTTCCTATATTTTTAGAATGTTTCTGTTTTACTAAAAGGAAGAAGTTTTCTAATTGCTTTCCTAAGTGTTCTCCATCAAATGTTTAGAAACTTAGGTTTCAGTGATGAATTCTTCCACCATACTCCACAAGTGGCGACACTCCGTGTCATGCCCATGATCCGTGTGAAAGGCATAGTTTTGAAAATTAGGCCGGAGTGGTGGATTTGACCAGTTCAACCACAAATCAGTCATATAGTCGGTTCAACTCATCTTAAAAATCGTCTATGCAAATGATTTTGTCGGATCAGAACTAACAATTCAACCGACGAACCATTAAACTAGTCTCAATTTCATAGAACCGACCAATTCAATTGATATCCTATTTAAATAATTAAATTAATTAATTTAGTATAAAGTATTAAATTAAATATTAAATATAATAAATTAATTTAAATTTAATACATTTTAATTTTATCAAAATTATTATTTTTATTATGATAACTTATAAACCAAACACCAACAAAATATTTGTACATGTATTTGAAATATATATTGATATTTTTACATAATTATTACATCATTATTATTTCATTTATTTGTTATTTGAATTATTTTAATATTTATTACAACATTTGATTCAACCCCAGTAGAACCATTGAGCTTTTGAACCTCTTCTTTTTTCGATTCGATATCTGATCCAATTTTCATAATTTTGGTGGAAAGTGCAATACCTTGAGATGTCGCGGGTGTTGGTAGTTACTTTCGTAAGAGGCATGTGCTTGAAGAACTTATCCTATATGGCCTCTATGAGTTCGGCCATAAACAATCTCAACAGAGTGTAGGTGGTATAAGATGGAGGTTAATGGTTGACCTCTTCATGAAATGGATGAGTGTCAGAAGTGAGCTCCACTACTCTCGATGTTAGTAGCACTGCTATCTTAAAGGGCCTCGACTATATGGGCGCCCTCTTATACTATAATCCTAGTGATCATATGGCGAGTTTAGTTTTTTGTCCCTCCTATCCCTAGGACAAATTCTCACCTTAGGCCGATCCCTTGATGGCAAGTGGTAGGGAAGATTCAGCCATTCGATTGTACTCATCGGCAGTGACATGACTGTTAACAAGCTCAAATAGTTTAGCGAGTGTCCTCGGCTACTGCAAGCCGAGTGCATATCTGAAAGGACCTTCCCTCGTCCTTAAATTAAGGCAGCCTAGGAGACTGCTGGCTCCAAGTCTTTTATATCCAACATTTCTCTATGAAACTTCACAATGAAGCTCATAAAAGACTCTATAGGCTACTGCCTCATTTTCAGCAGAGCTTGCAAGTTCTTCAAGGTCTCTAAACGCTAACGAATTTTGTAATGAACATTTGCTTGAATTCAAAGTAGGAGATGATTATTCCCATAGGAAAGTAAGCAACCTCAATGCCAACTTCTTTAGTGCCATAAAGAAGAGACACTTAAGGGCATAGTCTATATCCACCAAGGAGATCATAGTCTCCAAGGTCACAAGATGGTATGTGGGATCAATCTTGCCTATATATGACTCCAAATGAGCATTTTGAACTTGGGAGACAACTTGGCCTCAGAGATAACCCTAGAAATGGCTTTAGTTAGTTCGGGTTCTTCCTTCCTATCTCGCCTAGTCAGTGAGTTATAATCTTTAACACTCGTCCAAGTGCAGGTGTAGTTAGGGATGGTTATAGAGACGAGTGCGCACTACGAGTATCTTTGGCATGCTACCTAGTCATAGGATCCTTTGGGCGTACAATCAGCTCAAGCTCACCGTGGGAGGCTGCTCAAGGCATCCAAAATTATCTTCAACAATTGCTCCTCCATTTCATGTAGATCACAACGAGTGGTGAATTCACCATTTTCATGTTTACAAAAGGCTCTCGCTAAGGTGCCTCATTAAACAAAGCATGTCTTCTTATCACTCACATCAATCCACACTCATCCCACCTAAGAGTATGTTGAATCCATATTTGTTTAGTGTATAATATTCAACATTACTAGCAAATCTATTTGATGAGTTGAGAGCCAATTGATGAGAATGGACAATAGAGAGTTCAGAGAGAATGAGAGTAAGCTAGTTGAATCTCCACTATCCTAGTTAGAAAATATAAGAAGTGACACTCACGAGTCCCAAAAGATCTAAAGATCCCAACTACTTTTCATCACCATTTATTTTTACGGTTTTGAGGACTACAAAAAAGTCATATAGTTAAATGCAAAAATGCATGCTACACAAAATACTTGTGTAAAGTAACATGTTAATCTAGGACATGGGTCATCTACTGATTGGTTGCAAGAGGACGAAATCAACGGTCTAGTGAGTTGTTTGTCATTGAGCAAGCTCAATAGAGCTGAGTAGATGTAAGGTTAGTTTGTGAACGAGACTCGAGAGGAGATGGACCCGTAGCAAGCAAATTGTCTTATTAGGCCGACGACTGACGTAGGAGGCTCGAGGTCGCCTAATCATGAAAGGCGAGAAAAGGTGTTTGCAAGGGTCAATAGTCCCTGGGCCAGATAGTAGCAGACAAATGGAGTGTGAAGTCCCTATGGTAAGCGCTTTCCTGTAACTGAGTCTGACGAGTTCAAAGGGAGAAGATCTAACTGAGATGAGAGTCGATCTATTTGCTTGGTGAGGAACTTCCTCGTAACCTATTTTAACTCTCCTAAAATTGATTAATATAACAGCGTAGAGTGAACTCCATGGCAAATGTCGGCGAGTGATGCTCTTCCTTCTCCTTTGGCAAATTTCTTCACTAGGATTAAGTGAGTCCTTTGAGGGATCTGCTCCTAAAAAAGAATACCCTTGTCATGACTTGATCACTACCTATTAAAACACCTGAGAAGGGAATTATGAATATACAATATCTTATAATACTTTAATTGTAGCTTAGTATTAGCATCCATTACTTCTATTCTCATATATAGCATGCTTTACTCCCAAACAGGATGAGAGTGAAGATTAGATATGAAAAACGATGTGTCTAAGTAGATGTTAGGGGTTAATTAAAAACCAACACATAAACTGGTGGTATGTTCACTTGGTTTCTTTTGGATAAAGATTAATTTTACCACATCATGTATGACCAATTTCATATCCAGACCTTTTAGGAAAAAGGGTTTAGTTTAGTAGACATCATCATAAAAAATAAGAGAAAATCTAATACATCTTTCTTAAGCTATAATATAAGAGCTTAAAGTTTTAGGCGACAGATTATATTGAGTGATTCTAGTAGTTGCTTATCACAAGAAAAGTATTTTTAGGAACCACAAGCAAGGGTTAAAGAACTTCTGAGTTTTTTCATTTCATTTTTCTTAGACCAAGTAAAATTTACTGCATGCTAATGTTTCTTACGATTAAGATAAAGCATAGCTGAGATAATTGAATTCTAAAATGCTACGAAATGTTTATGTAAGGGAAAAAATGGGTGAAGCTGCTCTAACAAAAATTTTGACAACCTGGGTTTTAAGACATGAATTTGTTCGGAGAATAGTGAAGCACATCAGTTAATGGACTATTCCAGTATTGCACTTAACTCAAAAAAATCCAAGGGATTTGAAACCCAACCCCATCAAATTTTGGTCCCGATATCATTACCCATTGTTTCTTCTTATGTTAGTAGGTTTTGAAAATTTTCAAAATAGAATTAAAATTTTAAACCTACTTTCTTCTTGATCAGTTCACATTGTGTTCCCTTCCCAGATGCAGGAGGCCCCGATATCATGATCTTCAAAGGCTCCGGCTTCGTAGCAACAGAAATCTGAAATTTAACAATAACCAGAATCAACCACATTTCCAGCGGACAGATTAAAAGATGAGGCATTTAAAATTAACACTCCAACGACACAAGCCATGGGAAAGGAATAGAATTAATAAATGGAACTTTAGTAATTGAGCAGCCTGAAGAAAAAAACTCATAAAAACTATATTTTTCATCCCTTGAAAACACTCAACACTGGAGAAATTGAAATCCAAACTCAGCACAGAAGAAGAGAGATTACCCATAAATTAGTACAATTCAAGCCACTCCTGGGAAATCCAAAGGAGTGGCGGCGACGGGCCCCATTACTGAGATGAGAAGAATCACCTGACGACCGTAGCGTATGGGAAGGAGATGATAAGCCATCAGGGGCCTCACCAGCCATGGAGGACAGATTCGGCATAGTAGAAAGGGGAAAAGTTGAACGAGGAAGCGAAGGATTTATTGCAACTACCGAAGAGAAGGATGGAGTCATGAAAGATGCCATCCCTTCTCTCGCTTCGGAGTTGCCCCTTTTCCGGCGAACCGGTATTTGAATTCCTCAACGTGGCATAACTGTGATGCAAGCACTCCCATTAAAAGGCGAGAGTTGTTGGCCAAATTATTAGGTTCGGACATCTAATAAAAATTTATCATGTAAATTATGTTTTGAATGTGTGCTTTGACTGTGATTTTTTGATTTAAAGCGCAGTCCACGTGACAATTTTTTAGTGGATGTCCGGAGTCCGGACCTAGAAATAGATCTAATGACCTGACCTAATAATTTACCGTGTTGTTGAGGGCAAATTATTGGGTCAGGTGACCGGAGGCCAAATATAAGTTCGAATATCCAATAAAAATTTGCCGCGTCACCTTGCGCTTTAGTTGTGCTTTTTGACTTGCGCTTTAGTTGTGCTTTGGTTGCACTTTGGTTGCGCTTTTTGACTTGCGCTTTACCTGCGCTTTAGTTGCGCTTTACTTGCGCTAATTTTAAAATAATATTTTATTAATATCCGGACCTATTTCTGCGTTCGGTCACCTGACCCAATAATTTGCAGTTGTTGAGACCATTTTGGTGATATTTTTTTAGGGGTTTTTACATACATATCACTATATAACATTCATATTAAATATTTAATATCTAAAACTTAAATATTTCATATATACCACTCAAATACAAAATTAAACTAAAAAATGCCACTCAATTTCACTCCGTTTTTTTGTCCCCTTAAATTCAGAAATCCTTCAACTTCAAAACTCAGATTCAAATCTACTTACTAAAATTTGGACTTTGACATTTCACCCCCAACCCAACTGGTATGGTGAAAGAGTCAAGAAGCCCTAACCCAACTAGTAGGGTGAAAGAGTCGAGCCGATCTGTTAAAATTTCTTTCTAATTATGTAAACACTCATGTTGAGTATAAACTCAACATGTTGAGTTTAAAAAATTCAAGGAAAATCTATCATTTTTTCAAACATTTCAAATCTTTTTAAAAAATTATTCAAATTAACTTTGATCGTCATTGCTATATGTTTCCTATATATTATCTTGTAGTTTAACATATACGGTGTCAATTCAAAACATCAATCAAATCCTGACTCTGACATTTCACCCTAAGCTAATCAGTGTGGTGAAAGAGTTAAGTCAAGTTTCCCCATATTTTCTCTTTAATCTTGAAAACCTTTATTTTGGGTGCACACTCAAATGTATTGAGTCTCAAAACCAGATAAAGTTCTGTCAAATTTTTAAACTTCAAGAATCCCTTTCAAAATCATTTGAATCCAAGTTAATCGTCATTGTCATATATTCCTACCATACCATCTTGTAGTTTAACATACGCAATGCAAATTCAATATTTTCCAAAGTCAATTTTATCCCTTGATTTTCCCTTCAAATTTGTAAACCCTCAAGTTGAATCCACATTCAACGTGTTAAGTTTCAAAACTTAGGGAAAATCTCATAATTTTCAAAAAATTCAAATTCCTTTCAAAACTCTTTCGAATCAACTTCGATCATCATTGCTATGTGTTTTCATACAACTTCCTCTTGTAGTTTAACGCATGCAATGCAACTTTAAATTCAAACTCAGGCTTCGACATTTTGCCCCCAATTCATTTGGTTAAGCGAAAGAGTCAAGCCAAACTCTTAGAATTTTTCTATTAATTTTGTAAACCTGCACATTCAAGTGAATCTCAATGTGTTGAGTTTCAAAATTTAAAGAAGATCCATTCAATTTCAACTTTAAATTTGAATTCAATTTCAACCACAAATCAAAAATAAAATTTAACCTTATGTCCAAATTTGATGTCAAATTTTCAAGTTTGACTTCAATTCCAATTTTAAGTTCAAATCCAAGCTTCGACACTCCACCCCCAAGTTGATTGGTAAAACAAAAGAGAAGCTAAACTCAACAGTCAATTTCAACTTCGACTCAAAAGTCAATTCTAGCATTAAGTTCAAGTTTAACTTCAACCTCAAATTCAAGTCCAATTTCGACTTCAACTTCAAATCTAGGCTTTGATATTTTACTCGAAATCAGTTGAGGGAGTGAAAGAGTCAAGCTCAACTCTTAAAATCTACTTCTCAGTTTTGTGAACTTTTATGTTGAGTGAAAAATAGTAATATATCTAATCACTAAACTATATTACTTACTTTAAAATTCAAAAAATAAATATTAAATCTATAACCTGTGAATTTATTAAGCAATAATAAGGATGACTAATTAACATAATTATTAGTATTTTTTAAAACTAGAATTATAATCTTGATCATTTTTACTACTTCTAGATCATGATGTATTATTCATTTTACTTAATTTTAAATTATCAATTTTTTACTTTGGTTAATTATTTAATTAGCATCGCAGCAACATCAAAGGCATCGTTAGTGCGCGATAATATTGACATGGCGATGCCAACTTCTTTGTTCGACAGCGCTATGTCAAAAAAAATAGTCAACTTTGTAGTGACATGCTTATTGTCTTCAAGCATTTTTGTGTCACAATCTATCACGACTCAGTGCAAAAATTATTATTCTAGCATCATAGCATTCGAAAGTCAATAGTGCTACAATGGAGTAACTTTAACAGCCCAAGGACACAACATAACAGTTAAACGACATAATTGTTCATTGATCAACTGATACGCATCACCAAGAACGAAAATGGAGCCAAAGAATAGCATAACAATGTTAGTTCATTTTTGTGCACAATGATGTCGACCATTCAAGATCCTTAATACAAGTTGGTTGCTTCATATTTTTTTATAAATAGTCTATGTGATATGTTTCTAAAAGAGTTTAGTCGCTTAAATAATTTCAGTACAATTCAGAGTGCTTCTTTGAATTTCCCTTATGGTGACAACTAAGGGAATTTAGGGAAGTACTTGATACCATAATTAAAGTGTTTAGCTTGTATTTGTGGAAGCAATTCTATAAGTAAAAAAGGAGTGTAGAGGAGATCCATTGAACCATTCTTTTGATATATCTCTATTGTATTTTCTTTCTATCATGTTATTAATAAAAATGAGTTTGCTTAAAGTAAATATCATTTTTAGTACTAATGAGTGATTTGATTATTTAAATTATTAAAATTATATTTTCAATATTACCATATCTTAATTTAATACACATAATATCCATATGTGTAGTTAAAATTAGGTGTAATATGAAGCCTTGATGAAGGAAAATAGACATAACCAGGAATATTGAATTAGTATGTGACATACCTAGGCATAGGATATGAAATATACAAAATTCTTAAGGAATAATATAATTGTAGGAAGTCAGTGGATATCCTTTGTCCCTCCAAGCTTGATAGAAATCTAGGGATGAATATTCTATGAATAACATCATAATTAATTAAAGAGATTCATTAGGTAAAATATGTTATTTATATTTATCAATAAAAAATAATTTATCCATATAGTGTATCAATTATCTTTATCTAATTTTATTTAAGTGATTGAATCTTCACAATAAATATTTTTATTTAAGTTGGATAATTTTGCGATTAGAGTAAATAGTAGTAGTTGATTGTTGGAAAGCATACTTCCTTGTGGGTTCGACACTCTACTATATTACTATATTGCTTGACTCGATATATATACTTGCATATGTTAAGTGGGGTTTGTTAATTTATATCAAAGGGAACCTAAGCATTATTTAAAGGAGATAGAGTCTAAAGCATATTTTTTATAATTCAAAATTAAACTCCACCATTGCCCCCATAATTATGTATCCCAATATCTCTATCGAGCTTATAGGGGTAAAAAGGATGTCTGCTGATCTTATATAGTTATATCATCTCCTTAAAAACCTATCATATTTTACATTATATGTCTAGGTATGTAAACATGTTATGTTAATATTCCCACTTGTTCTTGCCTTCCTCCATCGAGGCTATATATTACACTAGGTTTTAACTACATATATGTCCACTATTTACATTAAATAAAGAGCAAATTTTATTAAAAATATCATTTAACTTTATGTACAAGAATCTTTATTACTACTTAATATATTGTCTATATCATCAATCCAAAATTAAAAAAAAATAGCCATAAATAATATAAAAGATAAGCAAACTCATTTTCATTAAAATCATTGAAGAATAAAAATACAATAAAGTGATTTTACAAAGAACGTTATATTTATATCCTCTATACTCCTTCCTTAACATACAGAGTTTCTCACATAAGCACTGACTAAAAACTTTAATGATTGTATCTAGCACTTCTTAAGTCTCTCTTAGGATTGACTATAAAAGAGATATAAAGAAGTACTTTAAAAAAAGTATTGAAATTAGACAAGTGACTGAACTTGCCTACAAACATAACATCAATGCTATTTATAGAAAAACACAAAAATAGTAGGTGGTGTTGTGACACTTTAAATAGCGGCACTATGGTGCACATACAATAAATTAGTGCTTCATTGCTAGAATTTCTACACCACTACAACATTTGATGAATGGGAACAGTTACATAGTGAATAGTCACGACTCTTCACCTACAAATCGTGTCCTTTTAAAGTTATAACTGCTACGTCATGGCACTTTTGACTTCCAAATGCTTCGGTGCCTAAGTGGCATATTTGGCACCATGGCGTGATAGATTGTGATGCCACAGTGCTTGAAAACAGTAAATAGATTCCAAGTTAACTATTTTAATTTTGTAGTGCTTGAATAAAGTGAACATGGTACTTCCATGTCCCCATGTGAGTCCTTGGAGATGTGGAAGATGGCACTGCGGCATGCTATTGTCGTATGTTGTGGCGTTGTACTCTACTTTATATTTTCTATTATTTTTAGTTTTTCTTGCACATAAACAATTGAAACAATACATTTAAACTGATAAAATACATATAAAGATATAACATAATTTATACTTATCAATACTCTGAACATACTCTGATAACTATGAAATCCCTATGTGCATTCTGATGAAATAAGAAATGCATGTGTAAGTGAGATTATGATAATTGGCATCTCTGATATTACTATGAAATCTATCAATGATAATATAAGCGATAGCTCTAAAATTAAGTACACTATGATAATCCTAAGAAAATAACTCTTAGTACTCTATGTATTCCTTAATATTTGAATAATACATTTATTAGCAATTTAAATGGATATTGATATTTATTATGGGCTTGTGAAGGAAGTCTACTAAGTTAATTGTGGTCACCCTATGAATTTTTGACATTTCATAAAAAGGAAAGGGTCCAACTGAGTAGAAAAGGGTAAAGATAGAGTCATATGAATTAGCATAATTAAGGTATTTTTCTAACACAGTATATTTCTTTTAATGTTTAGAATTCATTTTCACTATATTATTGTATGTATAAGTTTTGAATAATGAAATAAATTGAGATTTATTATATAGGATTTTATTGTTAGCTCTCATTTATTATAATTATATGAGTCAAAATGTAGGATTAGGACTTCAATCCTTCCATTAGATCCTATTACATTACACTATAACTATCCTTTTTGGTATCCACTAATTCAATGGCATATCCTCAAAATTAATGGGGAGGTTCACTTTCCCAAGACTCATAATGTTGCTACCTATAGAAGTAGGTTTAGTAGATCTTACTACCATAGTTAATAGTGTGGAAATTGCCTTTGTCACCTCAGACTCAACTTTTACTCTCTTCATAGGGGGAATGATAATGGGTTTTGTAGAGTTCTACATGGATTAGATACAACTTTAGCCAATTTACTTTACAGGGGGTTGCTTGCTCCTCATTTTCCCTTATTACCTCTCCAAGGTCAAAAGTCTTCATTTTTACTAATTTTAAACTAGAGAAGGCTAACATGATAGAGTCCATTCTTATCACACTAGCACATATATATAGCTCTATTAAAAACTTAAAAGAAAGAATCCCAATGCAAATCGTCTACTTATAAAGATCAAACATGAGTGGCATCATATTACCATCATTATGAGGAATCTATGCAACAATCAAGGACATAGTAAAACAATAAAATATTTTTGTATTTTTTTTTCCATAATAGTTTGGCAACCTTATTTAAAGTTCTTTATTGACTCACTTATCATTTCCATCGCTTGTTCTCCTAAGGAAGAAATTAAACACTCACTTGCATTTGCAATTTAAAGTATTAAGTAGATTGTCTTAGTGTCATGTTATAAGAACTTGTACTTAGTGGTCCATATAAAGGAGCTTGCTCTAAATAACATTGACCCAATTCAAAATAAAGCCACCACCTACACAAACATTTAAGGATCCTTGTGGATCACACATCCTGCCACTCCTCCCCATGTGGACAAGCTGTCAAGGTTACTCACCCGCACCTAAGGTGAAGTACCATTAATATTGCTCATCACTTTAGCTATAGGAAAGTGCTTACCCAAGAACTCTATGCTTTCCCTATTACACCCAACAGACGGTGCAACCACCTTTCTTGTAATTCAAGCTCACTTGTGTTCAATTCCTAAGCAACTTGGGGCCTAAGCAAATGTCGCTAGATCGAAGTGCTCGCTAATATGAATCCCTTGCTTTGGACTCATTAAATGTCTCAACTTAAACCTACTCACACATATGTAGTCGACACTCCTGAAATTGCCCCGAGGTAGATAATCAAGACCATGAAAAGTAATATCCCCTTTAGCCAGCTCAAGTATAACATATGTATAAGGCTATTTGTTTTAAGAGTTAGTAAGCCATATATATATTTTTTTTTCATTAATTTATAATTTATGTAGTATTTCTTGTAGCCTCGAATTCTTATTGTTGCAGATTAGAACATTTATAACGCTAGAGAGATAAGGAATCACACCACTAACAATAAAACTTATAAATAGTCCATTTGACCATCGTCGCCCTCTAACCACCACCGCCTGCTTACTATGATCCTTCTGACCACTTTCACCCACTGACTATTGTCCATCTAACCACCCTCCGACCACTATTTCCCGCCTAAGATGGTCCCTTTGACCTCCCATCACCCGCCAACCACGATCCCTCCAACCACCGTCGCACGACTACAGTCCTGCTAACAAAAAAATATGTCAAAAATGTTTCATCTATTTGTGTGTTAGATCTTCGTACAAAGCTAGGACGTCAAACATTATATTTCTCTACCACCACGAATGTCCCAGTTCACAACAAGATTAACTAAAGTAGATTCACACATACATCAACACTCAAATCCAAGATCTCTTAATTTATAGACAAAGCTCCCAACCAACAGATCAAAATAAGCTACATATAGGTCGCAATTCTTTCATCAAATTTCACTAAGCTAAAATAACCAATAGGGCAGGAGAAAAAAATAGTAGCCCACTAATTTATATTTATATAAAATTTTTGAAATAAAATAAACATAAGATAATGATATTTTGTCGAAAAATTAAAATTTATTTAGACAATAACAACAAAACAACTATCTAATTAGAAAATAAAATTGATTTTCTTAATCAAATATCATACCAACAACAACAACAACAAGCCTTTATTCCACTATGTGGGGTCAGCTACATGAATTCTTTTCTTCATTGTGTTATGTTAAGAGTCAAATTCTCATCTAAATCTAAAAAAGAAAGGTCATTTCTAATATTTTCTGACCAAGTCTTTTTAGGTCTACCTCTACCTTTATTAATATAAGTCAAATCTAATACATCTACATTCCTAACCGGGTCATCGGAAGGCCGCTATTTTATGTGACCAAACCATCTAAGGTGACTGTGATGCCCCAGAATCAATAGTGAAAGGATTCGTCTGACATTCTGATCAAACTCCATTCCAGTTGCCAAGCTCTGACCTGAAAATTTTAACCACATATAATGAGCTTACAAAGCCCAGCAGGTCACCAAAGCCTACAACTGAAATCAAAGCACGGCGATGCTATCAATATGCAGGTCAATCAAATCGAGTCAATCAATGGTCAATGAGTTTATGCAATGCGGAAATCCAAAGTCAATGAAATCAAGTCAATGCAGCGGAAATTCAAATCAGTAGTGCTTCTAGTCAATATCCAATCATCGTAGCAATGTCTATCAATCAATACGTACAATCAGTTCAATCAATCGTGTCGTCTAATCAATTCGTCGAATTTCTGTGTCAACTAATAGCAATCAATAACATCAATTAATTCAATAAGGGACTCGTGTCAGAACGTACTCTTGCAAATCAGTCAATCCAATTATTCAATACGATTTACTCGATATCAATATACAATATTCATGACACTACGACAGCTTCAATAATGATGACGTACGATGCTACAGTAGGAAAATCATCTCAATCAATAAAGCACTTTCCAATCAATTATATCTATCAGCAGGGAAATCCATCGAACAATCGAATCATACAATGGAATCATCAGGTCAGTAAAAAATCAATACAATCAGCTCCATAAAGAAATCTATTCTACGATAAACCAAATCCATACGACAACAATCCACTCAATCAATCA